AGGGCTTTGGGCCTCGGACGCAGGATCAACGATGTTGACCCTAGGTGGTGATGTGGGGGCCGGAGAATCGGGTGCAGGCGAAGGCGATGATGCCGCCTTTAGAGTTTCCACCGGGACGCGCAACAGCGGCGCTGCAGACACTCCAATAACGTCTCCCGGCTCCAATTCAGCACAACCTGCAAGGGGAATTTTTTGGAGTCCATGGGAAACGAAAGCATCGGGGGACGAAAGCGTTCCTACCTCTGGTCGAAACGATACGAGGTACTCGCCAATCAACGCCGGCAGGCCAGAAGAGCGGACGAGGTTCACCTCAACAAGTGCAGGCTCCGGCCCCAAGGAAATTCCCGAAGTCCCTTCATATTTGAGGTGAAAAGAGGACGCAGGGGCGTCGTCGTGTGTTGCGTAGACGCAGGCGCCAGCTGTAAAACGCGGAGAAAGAGTGAGTTCGCCCATAACACGGCCATCCGGTCCAGGGCGAGGGAGGGTGGTGAAGGTGCGAGAGTTGAACCGCATCCAACTATTCCAACCCAGGAGTACGGCGTGCCCCATGGCGGCATCTGGAACAACGCAGGCCCAAACCGCCAGAGAAGCCGTAGCACGATCCCCGTGAAGGAAGTTGACTGTTAACCGAACCGATTTGGCGGTCACGAGGGCGGGTCCATCACCAAACCCACCCCAACGACGAGGGGGCGAAACACGAACACTCCCCGAAGTCAAAGCTCCTGCATCAATCATAGCGGTAACGACAGAGTCAGACACGAAGGACGCGGGGGATCCAGAGTCCAGCAGCGCCACTCGCGGCAGTGGAGAAGTGGCTGTAGGCCCTCCATGCAACAGGACCCGGGTGGTGTACGAAGCCGAATCCAGCAGAAGCGTGCCGCCCACCAAATCCGGTCCGTGTTCCAGAAGAGGAGGGTGGTCTTGGCAAACAGAGGTAGCGGCCACCAAGTGAACGCCAGGAGCATGGTCCCCCGGAGTGTCCAAACGAAAGCCAGCAGAATCTTCACCCCAGCCCTCTGAAGGTGGTGCCGCACCAGGAGAACCCGTTTCTTGGCCCACCCACCGATTTTCTTTTTTTCCGTATTCCGGAAGAAAACTTGGTGAGCAGCGGGTTTTGAACCCGTGTCTTTTGCAACCAAGAGCAGACACGTTGATATCTCTTCGTCGACGCCATTGTGGAAAAGAGGGTTTCGTCCTCGAGAAAGTTTCAACCTTTATGAAGGTGTTCTCCACAGTTAGTTATCTCCTGCTAATACATGTGCCATGAGCGTCTCTCTCAGCTTCCATTTCGGCGCGCACCCCGTGGCCGGATCTGAGCTGTAGAGTAGTCAAGCGACCGCAGTGCCTAGGCCTGCCGTTGTGCGCGCTGTCGGGCGTGGTCCAACTCATTGGCAATTTCCAGCCTGGGACAGGCTTGCCCGCGGTGACAACCAACCGCCATAGCACGAGAGAACGGGCATCAAATCGAACATGGGCGTCTGGAAATCGGCGACAGCAGTTGTTTGCCCTGCGAGCAAAGCCAGTACAGTTATGAGCACGGTCGGCTTCTAACTACTACATGGCGAAAACGTTTTTGCGTATGCGGACCACACACATGTGCACATGTGTCAGGCCACGTTTTAGCTTTCTTTGGAAGTATGATACTCTGGCGGTCTCGTTGTCAATGATCTTGTGTGAGAAAGAGCCGCCGGCCTCCCTACTGCTGTACATTGGCACCAGCGCCATTCTGTAGACTTAAGTCAGTTACGTTGGGCGGCACGAACACCGTCCGGGGTACAACCCATTTAATACTAATTACTGCGGCCATACGATTTGTTCGTGAGGGTGTGTGCTGGTGTGAGATCTAATCCGGTTAGACAAATACGTACAACAGACTAGGATTTACATAGCTCCTAGAACTTCAACATACCGGAGCTTGTCGTGGCGAAAATGAGCAGTCGTACGAATAAGTCTAGATTAAGCCCCTGGCGCGGCATGGCGACGTGTTGCTTGCGACGTGCATATGCTTCACATGGTGCCGGTGGTATTGAACGTCACAGTAACCTTGGAGGTTGCACTATTACACGACCATTCGAAACTCTCACCTTTGCGCGTAGGACCAGCTGTACTCCTTGTTGACCCAATTTCGCCGGGCTCACCCACCGCTAGTCTAGCCAATACCTGCTTGGCATTGGCATCGGTCCGGCCAGGGAACACATTTTAGTGGGAATGAGCAACGCCACGCAACACCGGGCTATACTGTTTGAAGCTCACGTACCGAGATGACATGCGTTCTATCCATGTGTCGTGCTATTCCTGTGTCGCACTCACCTTGCACACCTCCCGATCGTCTCGATGCGCGAGGTCTAAGTCGTAGGTGTGGTCGGGCTTCTTGGGATTGTAAACGTTCAGGGGGCCTATCCTCCACAGAAACTCGTCGGACTCAGCCTGTGGGTCAAGGGGCGGATTTGCGCAGGGTATGTACTCGATGATTTTCGCAACCGATGTTTTAATTAAGTTGGACGACGCACAGTTACGCGAGGTGGTGGGTGGTACATGTGCACCACAAGCGGTAGAAGTAGGTACAGCAGGGGAAATGAAGGCAAGCTTGGTGTATCGAGAAAAACTTTCGGTCCTAGTCCGACATACGCACTTGCGTAAACTCGTCCAAAATCAGATCGGTGTCCTCCAGATCGACCAGGCGCGCGAAGAGCGTGGTGGCGACAATGACCCGGAGGAAGTCGTATCTCGGAAGTAGTTCATTGTCGTGATCACGTGTTCTTCACAGCCATTGCCAAGAAACATGCGCAGGATATCAAAACAGATTGCACGTTACAGTAGTCGTTCGCCACGAACTCGAGACAGGACGGGTGGGTATCGCCACGTTGACAGTCTTCTGGACAACGATTGATCATGACACCCGAAGCACAGTTCTGAAGGCTTCGGGGGGGGGCAGAAACGCGACCCTAGCGCCTCTCACGCCAGCGCATACATCGTAACAAAGATTGGGGGCAACGGTCTGTTGCGTTAACAGCGGCGTACGAGAGCCATGGGACCGCTCCTCGAAACCCGCTTGTCGAACAAAACCTGCAGGGCAGCGAACGAGTCACCATCTTCATCCAAGATGGATGTGAATACAGTAGAAAGGGACATGCACGTGGTTGCAATTCCGAGGCCGACCTGCTTCGCCGTGAGCCAGTGATGAAGCACCTGCACCTTGAGCTCGCACAGCTTACTCAGGGCCAGCTTATAGTCTTGAACATGCTGTGATCGAGTGTATAACGGCGGCAGCGGCGACGGCGGAACGAGGGTGTATTTGGTGTCGAAAGTGCTCCTAAAGCGACGACTGCGCCCACGCTGCAGCTGTTTGTGGTTAGGGCTAGAGGACGTGATCAACCTATATCCCGCATGTTCCTGAGGGCTACTCCTGTGCTTCTCCTGACCCAGCACTCTGAATGGGCAACCCGCTCCCCTTCAGGTCAGCTAGCTAGAGGAGTCGAGCGATGGCAGGAGAAACGACACGTCGAAAACAACAAAAAAAGCGAAGAAGAAGGTATTGAATACCCGTGCCTCGCACCGAACCTGAGGTTTGCCGATGACCTTTCGCCACTTGAGCGGCATGTGATACAGCGGTTTTTGCTTGTAACCGAAGCCAGGCTTCGACTCCGTCAAGTCGGGGGGCTCATTCTTTCCGGATCCGGGTGCTGCTATTGGCGATGCCGCTCTCACAATCGCGTTCCCGACGCCTTGTGCGGAAAATCATGCGCGAGATTCCGGGTAGGTAACACCAGATCAATCTATCGCCGATGTGTAAAGGCAAGACCCCCACGATATGGCACACGATTAGCGGGCTTTTCATCGTGAGTTTACCCTCAATCTCGGCCTTAAACAAAAATCGCGGCTGTTGGCTAAGCCTTGAATCGCACTAGTGACATGCCGAGCTGTTGAAAGGCAGGCCACAGTGATACCCAGCCCCGTCGACGTTACCTCGATCGTCATGTAGCTCGTTTTTCTTTTGGTTCCCCCCATCGCCGTCCACCTCTTCATTAGGCGGATCTTCACGCTTGGGGTCTGGCGGAGTTCACCTGACAGACACATTCGGCAGGGTACGCATGGGTACCATGTTTGCTTCGACCTTCGCATCATGTGGGGATGAGGGGGGAGGTTTCGGCGCGGTTGCATACCATTCACATCCTTGCACTCGACACGACGTCGCCGCACAGCGGGACTGGCGGCTGCACTCACCTCTCCCACCATCAAAACGTATCACAGCACAAAAGACCCACGGAAATTGGACTGCACCAACAAAACAGAGGAAATTAAAAAGAAAGGCAAAGGTGCACCACAACAAGGGTGTATTCTTGAATTATCCACCATTCAAGCGGAAATATGTAGCCTACTCGACACGAGCTCTGAGCTGCGCTCACCGCCGGGGGTAGAACCTGCCTTGTCGCCGCCCTCATTTCCTTTGCTTTCTCCCGTTAGTACCGAACCGCGAGGAGCGATTTCCACGTCTTCGTCGGGCACGAGAGGGTGGCCAAGTTCGACGATGGCCCACGCTTGTCTTCGCTCGGATTTTCTCGAAACTTGATACTCGGCGTGGAAGGCCAAAATCTAGAGGTCAGCGGACGCGCCACGTATACTAATATTATGAGTAAGGAATGTATAGCGTTCTCGTGCTTGTGTTTGTTTAGCTGCTGATTGAACCGCGCTGTCGTGGGTGAGGTAGACACACGCCGGTTGTACGTATTGCTCGCACTTTGGCCCGTCTTTGCAACGCTGGCGAGGTGTTCATGCCCCTTGAAGACTGCTGATCGCCTCCTCCAAACTGACGTATAGGCTTTTTGTGAAAGGTTGACAAGGCAATGATTCTGTGGACCTGATCAGGCGTGATTGGCCTCAACAGCCCTTCCTTCACCATGGCGTGCACGGCCTCCATTTTTCGCAGAATCGAAGACTCTAAACTCGACGATCTGCGTTATGGGAAGTGTGTCATTAAGTGGTCCAAAGAAGGTACTGCGAGAGTCAGAAACTCTCGCAACAACGCTGGATTTGAGGCAGCAGGCTCTTTGGAAAGCTCACGATTGGGTCTACAGGCTACGTACCGGTCGGTCCCTTGAAGGGTGCGGACAGCATCTCAGACGCGATCAATGACATTTTCGTAAATTTTCGATAAACATGTTCACCAGGGGTCTTGCCACGCCGGCATATCAGAAACGTCCTCGGTATGTCAACCGGCATCGGTCAACGGAAGAAGGGAGACAGGAACAGCAAGGGTTCAACTCTAAGCACAAGGCGACCTTCTCTACACAGTCAACCGCTTGGTTACTTGGACGGCGGGACAGCTGCCGTCATTGCCTGCTCTCGCCCTTGATCGGAGATTCTACTCCGAAACGACCGGTCCCCACGAACGCCGACGCCTTCTCCCTCTACCTGCGGCAGCGCTGAGATCATAGTGAGAGATTTGAGCACTACGCAGGGTGAACCAAGCAAGGGCTCCCCGGCTGCCGTAGCCGTACCCGTTCCCATGGTGACTTTCGGTACTCTCTGCTTGGCCCCGTTTCGGCTGGCTTGTTGCGGGCGCAGTATTTCAGCTGTAGTGACGATACTTGCCGCCTTGGAGGTCATCTGGGCATTGGAGACCGCGCTGACCTAGGTCGTTTATTGACGGGCCCGGGCAACGAAGGGCGACGTTAGGCAATCAATGGCTTGTGGTCCTCAGGAGGGAAAGGTTTCGTAGAGGGTGATGAAGAAGCAAGTTCGTCAAGCATCCTGGGCACAGGGTGCTGTTGGGGAAGGGAGGATCTCCCTGAATAAAGTTCCTATAAACCTGTACACGCTATATGTAGGTGGTTCCCGAAGAGACACAAAATACTCCACCTTGACCCACACTACCCCCAGCAAGGGTGCTGGCACTGCTCACGGACATCGAGCCGACTCTCTCCGCAGTGGCCGCTTGTTCTGGACTTTGTTTGAACAGGAAGGGATGCTCCGTGCTCCTCTGCATATCTCCCAGGTCAAGGCAGGTCAGCAGCTGCTCCACAGCCCGTGATCACGCAAAGGGGAATGCGACCAGGCGTACAACGGCGGGGTCAGGTGCGCGTGCGTGGGAATACACCCGGGGCCCCGGGCAGTCCGATGGTTAGCAATACCATGTTCGAGGAAGGCACGTCTTGGCAACACGCCAACAGATAACACATCTCTTCAGACGATTCGTGTGAAGCTGGTCAAGATTTTGGAGGGTCTTGGTGTGAAAACACAGCTACGAGCGTCATGTCCCACCTGACCGTAGTCCCGTGTCACTCAAACCAGGACGCCTGAAGCGCTGTGAAAGCTGTGTGGTCAGCGAAGTCGATTCTGACTGAAGGCAGACACCGTTTAAACAGAAACCGCGATCTTTCTTGCCTGGCTGAACCGGCGGTCGCTGAGAGGTCTGGTTCCCGGGAAGGGGCGAGTCGTTGAGACGTAGCCCAGCCGCACCTTTCCCTTGAAAGGGTTGTTCACAAATCAGCGCCCCTCCATTCCTCGACCGGCGAACGGAAGGCCGTTAAAGGTTTCGTTGCGGAAGTTGTTCCAGTACAAGCTGGTCCAGCCAAGACGCGTATTTCACGGTTTGACCGGATTTCCCGCGCGGTTTTTTCGAATCAGGACCTGAAATTTTGAGACGGCATCTGCATGAGTACAACTAAAAAAATTACCACGGCGCCATTTGTTTTTTTTTTTTCATGAGTTACCCCTATTGTTGTAAATATGGGAATACTTGTTTCGGGACAAAGTGACTAAAAAAAAAAAATCCAAATGGCGCAGTGGCAATTTTTTTTTTTGTACTCATGCAGATGCCGTCTCAAAATTTCAGGATCTCATTCGAAAAAACCTAGCGGGAAATCCAGATTTTCGTTCTGGCCTCAGAACCTGGGTGCAGGGGCTCACCATTTATATAGGAAAATGAGGGGTCTAGGGACCGTAGAGACGTGTGCGAAATCGGTGTAGTTGGCAGGAGCCACACTGGCGCTGCCTACCAGCCCATGACGTACATGAGTTGCACCCACTGGTCGTGATGATTTGAAACATGTATTAAAAGCTCACGACGTCAACATGCGCGTGCACAAACTCGAACAAATATGTCTCAACTCGACCGAAAAAAAAAAAAAAGACTTTTACGGCATCACCGCACGATATTTTGCACACAACCACACCTATGCTTAACCTGTAATACGAAGCCAACAACAACACCCACGCTGCGTAAAATATACAACTATACCATCTTCAACAACATATACATGTAACTCTCTACAGCACCATGTACCCCCCCC